AAATACCGGACTAATGAATCTGTCACTAGGCAACATCGCATACTGAAATGCAGAAGTATTCTTTCAATCCAATCAAATTATTTCACACAGTAGAGACAATTGCCAGTATCTTAAAAAAAAACAATTTTAGGACAATAATCTTTGGAAGTTGTGAATCATGGTTTCTTTTTTGTTTTCATACTTTCATTATTATCTTAATTGATTAAATTTTGTAATTAAATTTTTTTGTATTTTCTAGAGATGGAGATTTTCATAAAGTATATGATCGTGCACATGTAGCAAAGGTATTAATACAGTACTTATCTAATAATGATTATATTTATGTATTAATTTAGTCTATGATAACTTTTATGCTTGATCCGAAAGGTGAAATGCCATGGGATGAAGATGAACTTACTCGTGATATTCTTCATTTAAATAATCCAAAAGTAAAAATATAATTTATTAAAATAATTAAATTTTTCTAAATAAATAATTTAGGATTTTGAACGTGTATTAAAAAAATCATTACCATTATTAATTTTTTTCTATGCACCATGGTGTGGATATTGTAAAAAATTAAAACCTTTGTATGCTGAAGCTGCTACTGAAGTTCGTGGTCAATATCAATTAGCTGTTATGAATGTTGATAAAGTTGAAAATTATCCAATGCGTAGACAATTCAATATAACTGGATTTCCTACTCTTATTTATTTTGAGTATGAATATTGAAAATAAAATTTAAACATTTAAGAAATATTTTTTGTTTTTCTAGAAAAGGTGAAGAAAAATTTCATTATACAGGTGGTCATACTAAAGATGATATTATAAAATGGCTTAAAGAGTAAGATGAATTATTTATTGTAATTAATAAATAATTCAAATTATATTCTTAGTCCACAACCACCAAAAGAACCATCAGCCGAAGAAGCTGCAACAGAATTCTTTCCAACTGATAGTGAAAATGTTAATTATGTTGTTCATTTGAATGATGATACATTCGATACATTTATTGCTGAAAATGCTCAATCACCTATTTTAGTAATGTTTTACGCACCATGTAAGTATAGAAGCTGGACACTTGCGTGCTAGGGTAGATTCTCGTTTAAGAAAACACTCGAGAAAACTATTCGAATAGAAGTACGAAAAAAGAAGAGCTCGATATATTTTAACTGATCGTTAGTGTCTATAGGTAGATTTTTAATCAAATTTTGTAGCCGTTTGTTGAAAGATTCGGTTTTTTTTTGGCTTCAATGATTGAGTGCTCGACATGAAGTGGGACTGGATAAGTTTTGTCTTTACTCATATTCAGCTACTGACATGACTGAACGACTACATAGTTTGACACGTACCTACAAGGTACTATGTTCAAACCTTGATATGATCAGCCGTGAAATGACCCTGAGCAAATCACAAACAGCTGTTTGTCTCGAATCGCTCGTCCGATAGCATGCTGACGACGTTGTGACATACACCTGCTCTTGTAGTTAGCTAATGTTTATGAGGCATGAGCGCAAAAACTACGTCAGACCAAACTTCTCTCCAGAGCTGGAGCTAGTCATAGTTGTAGGGAAAATACCGAGCTATTGAATGTGTCACTACGCAGTACTCCATACTGCAAAGAATCATGAATGAGAAAATCAAGTGATAAAGTTTATTATTTGAATTAATATAATTGTGCATTATCTGTTGAAAAATTAAGATAGAATATGTTCAAGGATAACTGTCCTAGACCTGTAAGTATATATGAGCATTAAAAAAAAACAGATATTATGAAAAACTTCCAACAGAGTTTAATGATATTTCATATCGATACAATTAATTAACAACTAAATCGAAATGAAGGTCTATTCATTTTAATATTTCTATGAATTTTTCTCTTATAGGGTGTGGACATTGTAAAAGTTTGAAACCAGAGTTAATTAAAGCATCAATTGATTTACATGATCAACAGGTTAAACAAACAAAAAAAAAAAAACTTTTTTCACACAAGATTTCTAATGATTACCTTTTTTTTTATTCTTAATATTTAGAGTAATGCTATAATCGCAGCTATCGATTCAACTAAATCACCAAAATTATCAAAACAATACAAAATCGAAGGATTTCCAACAAGTATGTTTAAAAGCAAACATGTGCTTAAATTCTTTTTTTTTTTTCTTTTTTTGTTGTCATTTGCTAATAAATGTGTGTTGTATATTTATAATTATTCTTTCAGTGAAATTTTTCAGGTAAGCGTATGCATGTTGCTAGTGAATGTGCAAAAAATTTTTGGGCTTCTCTGTTATATTAATTATTTTATTTCAGTAAACAATTTGTTGTTTTTTTTTGTTATTTAATATCTAGAGATGGAAAATATGCTTTCGAGACAAATGAAAGAACAGCTGACAAAATTGTTGCATTTTTAAAAGAGTAAGAAAAATTATTTTTTATTTTATTGAATAAAAAAGAAAAATAAAAAAACAATAAAATTTTTCTCTTCAGTCCAAAAGAACCACCACCACCTGAACCAGAATGGTCTGAACAAGAAACAGATGTTGTTCATTTAAATGAAGAAAATTTTAAAACACTTTTAAAGAAAAAGAAATCTGCTTTAGTCATGTTTTATGCACCATGTAAATAACAAAAATAAACAATAATATAAATATATATATATATATATATGTTTGTAATTTTTATTAGGGTGTGGTCATTGTAAAAAAGCCAAACCTTTATATACTAGTGCTGCAGCAAAATTTAAAGACAATCCAAAAGTAAATTAATTTCTACTATCAAAAAAAAAATTTTCTAGTTTTGTTTTTGGTTTGATTTAGGTTATGTTTTCTGCTATTGATTGTACAAAACAACGACCAATATGTAAAGAATATGAAGTACCTGGTTATCCAACAATAAAATATTTTAATTATGGAAAATATATTGCAGAATACGGAAGTGACAGAACAGTAAAAAGAAAATTTTAAATTAAATTCTTTACAAAACAAAAAAATTAATTTCTATTAATTAAGGAAGAAGCTTTCGTTGAATTTATGACTAATCCAGAAGAACAATTAAATAAACCAAAACCTACACCACCACCACCAGCTGATCCAATTGAATTTTGGAAAGATTCAGGACCAGGTTATGAAAATGTTCATCTACTTAAATCAAGTACATTTGATTCAATTATTGGTCAATCTCGTAAAGCATTAATTATGTTCTATGCACCATGGTGTGGACATTGTAAAAAAGCAAAACCTACTTTTTCATCTGTTGCATCTCAACTCGCTTCAACACATAAGGTAATTATAATAACTAAACAATTAAAAATTTTTTTCTTTGTTAGTTATTGATGATCATTTAAATATTCTTTTGTTCAGAGTGTTACACGATGTGTACTATATTTAAGTAGATGTGTTTGTTCTTTCGATTAAGAAGTTGTAGAATGGAATTACAGAATAATCCTACTCGAACATATCTCTATATTTTTTTATTTAGTAGTATTAAGAAATGTAACAGTGGCGGTGCATCGTCCAGATTGGTGAAAACGGTGTTTTTACGTTGCCGTTTTCCATAAGCTCGTAAAAAAGCAAAAATATTAGAAGCAACGGTGAAAACTAATACAGTAATACGCTGTTTCTGACGATCGGAATGATTTCCCTTGAGCGATTACTCCAGTCTTACATACAGCTTTCTGTACTGGTATTGACATGCACGTATAAAATAACGGTGAACGCATGATAAAACTATGGTGGTCTTAGATTGATTTCGATTCTGTCGGTCAAAGAGGTCATAGCTGAATTTTATCAAAATAGACTACAGATTTTCCGAGTCCAGAAATCCAAATCCATAGGAAATTTGTAGAAATTCTCCAGTTCAATTTTCTTGTCCGAGTAAAAGATTAGTTCTCACAGTTTGCACATGTCTTGAAATAAATCTAAGATCATTGCAGTGTTATCATGTCTTTACCATTATTTTATACGTGCATATTGAAACCAGTCCACTAATGATTATTATCACCGTCGCATTTCTACTAGTATTATATAATAGTACTCAAATGTAAACTCGCTTATCGATGATGACTTGTTTTTTTCTTTTATTTGTAATTTTTTCATATAAAAAGCAAATCAATATTGAAGAAATAATTGGAATTGAGAAAATATTCATACAGTACTAGAATTCTATCATTATGATCTTCTCATGCATGTAGAACTAATGCAAATCATCGATAGAAATTTTATTGGTTAATAAACATAGGAATTTCAGATTCATTTGTTAGTGTCATGTCAAAATAAAAATCAAGATACTTTTGAAGAATTAACACGGTCACTGATCGATATTTGTTAGGACTAACTGAAAAAATTTTTTCAGTTCATTCAAAAAACCAACATTTTCAGATTTTTAAAATTTCAACTTATACTAATGATTCTATTTGTTAGGATATTATTATTGGTGCTGTTGATGCAACTGCTGAAAGAGATTTAGGTAGTAAATATTCAGTTAAAGGTTTTCCAACATGTAAGTTATTAATTTAAATATTTATTATTAAGAATTTTAACCTTTTTTCTTTTTTTTTTTAATCATTTTAGTTTTATACTTCGAGTAAGTATATTAATCTTAATTTTAATTTTTTCTTTTATATTCATTTAAATAGAAATGGTCAATTATCATCAGAGTATGATGGTGGTCGAAGTGAACAAGATCTTTTAACATATTTAACGTAAATATATTTATGATGATTTTTATAATTTACATTTCGTTTTTTTCTTTTTCAGTGGTTCAACGGATAAAGTTGAATTATAAAAAACAAAAATTGAATTGAAATACCAACAAAAATCTCAATCCAATTTGATTAAGACATTTATTGTTATATTAGTTTTTATTAATTATTCGATTATTGAAACTATTTGTTATTGCTCTTTTTTTGTTTTGTACTTCTCATAATTAGTTTTTCTTTCTTCTTTTTTTTTTTTTTTTATCTAGGGTGTTATTTTTATTGGGATGATTGTTTTTAGATTTAATTTCTATATACATATATTCACGTAATGGCCTATGTCGATAGAACTGGTAAATATAGAAAAAAAACAGGCGTGTTCTTGTCACCTTCATCTGTCATTGTGCATTATTGATCATCGGATTAGAGAATAAGAAAAAAAAAAAAAAAAAAAAAAAGAATCAATTGTCACACTATAATCGTGTCTTATTTCCGGTATACATTCTCATCGTCTTCTTTTTTTTCTCTTGACTAACAGTAGACTGTAAATAAAAACTAAAATTTACAAAGAGATCAAGTTACTTGAATATAATATTTGATGCGCATATATTTATTTATTTAGGCGCAGTTCATGATCAAAGACCGGTATGGACACCAAGTGGACTTTATCATTTAATTATTTCATTTATCAATTTTATGATATTATTGTAAGAAATATTTTTTCTTTTCGCTAACACTTATTTAACTTATTTTTGTTCTTTTATATTTAGTTTTCGTTCATTGGTTGATGTATGTTGAAATTTATTTCATATACATAAGTCTAATTTACAATTTTATTTTTAGCCAACGTTGACTAAACATGGAAGAAATACGGAATCAACTGATTATCGTACCGGTGGCGGTGGTAGAGGTGGTGGTGGTGGTGGTGGTGGTGGTGGTGGAGGTGGTGGAGGTGGCCGATTCGATCGGTAAGATTGCGTGCATGACTTTCTCTTTTTCTTTTTGTAAAAGAATGAATCCATACGGAAATAGATGCTCAACAAGTCATGTATGACAAATTTTGCATACTGTTCAATATTTTTCAATTATTAAACACGCACTAAAAAAAAATGCTTTCTTTTAGACCTCCTAATGCACGACCAAGACGACGCATGGGTGGATTTGGTGGTACAGGTGGAGGTAAAGAAAAATATTAATAATGATTTATTTTAATCTTTTTTTCTTTTTTGTTTATAAATAGGTCCCGGTTGTGCACCAATGGCTGGTGGATGAGGTTAAAGAACGATTTCTAGCTTTGATGTGCTAGAAATCAATTGAACTACATTTATTCGAATAATATTCTTTTTGATAGATTTTTTTTTTTTCTCCAATGATAATCTTGTATGAAAATCTTACGATGTACAAGTATTTGAATGTTATCAAATAAGAATTTATTTGAAAAATGTTTTTGTTATATATATTCGCTTTTGGTTTGAGATTTTTGTTTTTGTTATTGCATGCTTTTCCTTTTTCCCATCGGATTTATATGTATAAATATAAATGTATTCTGTATCTGCATTTGATATACGAAGAAAAAAATAAAATGTGTATAAATCTTCAATTCTATTCATGCGCATCTGCAGCCGTACATCATCACTCATTTTATCAAATATATAATGCTGATAGATAATCATAATGACTGTTCAACTCAATCGCAAATGAAAGAGAAAGAGAACGCAGACAGCATCATCTTTCTGTCTTTCTTTTTTTCTCTCTCGGTTTTTTTTTTCTTCTTTTTAACCAGCTTTTTGGATAAAGCAAAGATGTTGTTGTTGATGATGATGATGACTATGGGGTGGTGTTAGTGGCAATGATAAAAGAATAAAATAGTCTGTCTCATTTTCTTCTTTTTTTTTATTTCTTTTTCCCCCATGATATGAGTTTTGTCGTCGTTGTCGTCATCGGTTTTTCAGAAGAGTAGATGAGTGTAGTAACAGAACGTCGACGCGTGCATGCAACAACACATATTTTGTATTTTCCCTAATAGACCCGTTCTGCCAATGGTATTGGCGTGCCATCATCTTCTAGTCCAATTTTCTTGTCAAAATACTCAGTAGTATTGCTTCTGCTGTTGCATGCTGCTCTTTTTTTCTTCTTTCTTTCTTTCTTTCTTTTTCTTTTTTAGTGCTACACATTAGCATTGCTTTTCTTTATGTTTTGTGCTGGGAGGGTTATTGGTAGCAAAAGAAAATTCGATTCTTTCTTGTTCTCTCTCTCTCTCTCTTCTTTATTTCTATCTGCGTAGTCGAAATGGTCGCGTCCTGTTTCGGGTGCAAATGTTACTAGCATCAAGTGATGGAAGAAAAAGATGAAGACGAACATGTGAAAACAAGAAATATATATATATATATATATGCGTGTACAAACAAATAAGCATACTAAATTATTCTTTTCTTCTATTCAACCATCTATCTCTATATATCTCTCGAGCATGTATAAAAACAATTTCGACTACATCATTAATCCTAGGCTAGCTAGCAAGCAAGCGTCCTCTTCTCTTTTCTTAATCGTGTGCCGGGTGCGAATAGGTCAATAACAACATGAATAAGAAAAGAGAAGAGGAGAGAGAGAGAGAGAGAGAGAGAAAGAAGAAACGGGAAAAAAAACTGGCATCCATGCATGTTCTGCATCTATCTATCTATTTTTGTATCGAGGGAGAACAAAAGATCGACGATCGAAAAAGAGAGACAGAGAGAGAGAAACAGAGAGGGAGAGAGCAGAACATTACAGTCGACAACGCGAGCGCATCATCACATCATTTAGTTGGCCTCTGTCTTGATGAGAGAAGCAGTAATATTAGTATAGCAATAGTCTTCGTAACACGAAATGGATAATATTGACAAATTCATATGTTAATTGTAATAATTTCATGGGTGAGTAAATATTTCTTTCCAAATGTTTAAAAAAAAAAAAAAGAAAAGAAATCAATCAATTAAAATGAAAGTTTTCTTTTTAATATATTATCTTTTGTCTATTCGTTTGCTTTTTCTTTTTTTTTATTGTTCATATATCATAAAAGATCTATGTAAACTCATGCGTCTGTCATTCGATCTTTTACTATTGTTAAGTATTAGCGAAAAGAGAAGAAAAAGAAAGAAAGAAAAAAAAAAAAAAAGGAAAAGAAGAAAGAAAAAATGAGGCACATAAAGAAAAAAAAACGGAAGATTCTCTCTTAAAAGCAAATGGAAGGTATAGAACAGAAATAACAATCGATTTTTCACAGTGAACAAATCATTATTAGCAAAGGAGAGTATTCCAAGTTGTCTCTTCCTTTTTTTTTTTTTTTAGATAGTAGAAAAAGAAAAGAAAAGAAGATGAGTATAGCAAAAAAAAAAGCGCCCAAGCGAATGTGTTTGTCATTCGACATCAATCATTAACACATGAAAAGTGAAGATGATTAGAGGAAAAAAAAGCCTTTTTATTCTCTCTTGTTTATTGCTATATTCGCTACATCCACCGTAAACACTGTAGAATCTACAAGCTTTATAATACTTCTTTCTTTTTTTCCTTTCTTAATCATCTACAATTTGTGTCAGCAAAGAGATCGTGCTATGTGAAAATCGAAATCATATCACAGTCTTGCTTTGTTGACATGAAGCGAACATGCATCATATCTTTATCAAGGTAAAAGAAAAATAATTTATAAGAATATATTCTTTCATCAATATATATATATATGTATCATTAATTTATTTTCTAATTTATTATAGTACATGTAATGGTTGTTGTTTTTTTTTTTTTTGTCAACATATTATCTTCATATTATTGTGATCATAACAAATAAAGGCAGTTTCTATCAGTAAACAGTCTGTGAAATGTTGAAATAAACTTGAAATCATATCACAGCCTGCTTGCTGATCTTAACTGTCGGATTACTTCATACTATTATATATATATATATATATATAAAATCATTTGGTATTATCTTGATATTAACGTAAACGAAAAAGATATATTGATATAATTCAACAATCAATTTGTTTGACGTATGAAAAGGGCATGATGAACTTTCAATAATAAAAAGAATAAAGATGGTTCTTCTTTTAGTTCAATTATAAATGAACCATGCCATTTATCTATTTGTCTATCCTCATTCAACACATGTTCATCTGCTATTGATAAATGAACAAATGTGCATGCAAAGATGTTATCTTGTCTTGTTTCTGATCAGATAGAAAAATATTGATTCAATTGTTTTTCTTTCTGTTTCTGTTAAATTGGAAGAAAAGAATTATTGTACAAAACAGACAAAACAAAAAAAATGTTCGAATATCATTGTATTTAGTTTAAAAAAAAAAAAAAAAGATAATAATCATGACAAGTTTTTTTTTATTTTTCATGGTAATAATCAATGAATTTCAATGTACATTAACTGACAAATAAAAATATTGCATTTTGTTTATTTTAAAAAAATAAAAAAAGTAATTCAAATGATTTATAATCAAGTCTATATACATCCTGTTTAATTGTAAGCTGCTAAGTACCAACTGTGAGCACCCTGAGGTGATAATATAATAGAATTGTATTTTTCTCCAAGAGTATTTAATTAACTTATAAAAAAAAAAGTAATCATGATGTAACAAACATTCTTATCTCTTATTGTATATTCAATGATAGATATTTATATTGAACATTCCTAAAAAAGAGTTTTAATGAAAAGAATGTTTCATTAACTAAGATGGAAATGTGCGACCTCTGTTTACATTGAATTCTATACGATAGAAAATAATCATTTCATGGTAAATTATAGATCTTACTATAGTACTTTATACAAAATACGTTTTTGAAAAATGTTATTATCACGTATTTTTACATCAATAATTTTAAAATATCAAAATCATTTCATATTAAATAATTCTCGATATTTTCTATCAAATTTCTCATTGAAAGTATTATCTGAAAAAGAAATTAATCAACAAAATAATATATTAAATAAATCTGATGATTCTAAATCAACGAAAAAAACTATAGACGATAATAATAATAATAATGAATGGTTATGGGAATATTTACGTGAACGAAGAAGTTTTTCAGATCTTACTGAAGAACAACGACGACATGTTATTGAAATAGGTAAATTAATTTGTTTTTCTTTTTTTTTTATCTTAATTTCAATTCTATAGAAATTCAAACATTACGTGAAAGTGGTGAACGTGTACCAGAAATTATACCTGATGAACGATGGACTGAATTAATAAATACACCTTTAAGTCAATCTCGAAAAAGTATATATGGGTAAATTAATAATTCATTCAAATACTTTTTAAAGAATTAAGATTTTGTTTTCTTTTAAGATATCTTTTTCTTCGTGAAATGTATCGTAAACGTCGTACAGCTATTGTTACTGAAAATAATCTTCGTCGTATTGAATCAGTAAAACGTCGTCAAGAATTACTTGCCGAAGGAAAACCACCAACAAATTATCCTGGTTATTCATCTATATTTCGTCATTTTGGTCGACAATATGAAAAATATTTACGTGAACAATTATTACTTGTACCTGCACGTCTTGGTGAAATGATTGTTATTGATTGTGGTTTTGAACATGAACATATACGTGAATATTATTTATTAAATTTAGTTGATCAAATACAATATTTATTTGCTGAAATTTATCGTTATCATTCACCATCATTTGTTTATTTATGTAATTTATCTAAACATGGACGATTACAAGAAGAATTTAATCGTCGATCACCATTAGAGAATTTATGTTTTGAAGCAACAGAATCAAGTTATTTAGATATATTTCCACATGAAAAACTTATTTATTTATCACCAGATTCAAATGTTGAAATGACATCATTTGATCATGATGCTGTCTATATTATTGGTGGAATTATTGATCTTAGTAGGTACTTTTTTAATGAACCGCTGAGCGCTCTCCTTCGAAATCGATCTAGAAATAGAATAATACATTTAAATCATATGAAATTTTTAGGACGTATTAGAGCTCTAGTGAAGAGACTATGGTAAAATTTTCAATCCTTTAACATGATGTTTTCCAGAGATATTCAATAAACAAAGATAAAAAATAGGAGTATCCTGCACAGGTACGATTTTTCGTATCCGAACCAGAATTAAGGGTACCCCCCCCCTCTTTTTCATGATTTTTAGATCTCAAAGACGGTTCAACCGATCGGATTGAAATTTTTACCACAGATAGAGCACCTAAAATAAGGAGACACGTCTTCGAGGAAAAATTTTTTCAAGAGGGTTTTCATGTTTTTTTT